TTTGCTATAGGACGCGTGCGCTTGCCAGACAGACAGAGAGAGACAGAGAGACAGAAAACGAGAAATCACCCCCCAGGGGGGATGGCCACGCCGCAATCCCTTCTCCTCCATTCTCCTCTCAGGATCTTGGGCATGCACGCACACACACTCGGCATGAGTTTTAAGCCACCGGGTCTGGGACCCGAACCGTGGTCGACTACGTGGGAGTCCAGCGATGTAGCCATTATGCTAACTGCTGGTCCCGGCATCTAGCTGTCTTAACCACTGTGGCATTGGTTGGCCCCAACATCTAAGAGAACATTTTCAAAGGAGGGTAAAGGCCGTGTGAACCGAGGCCTTGGTGGCGTGCTCCATGGGTCCCTGGTAGCGATGATGAATGAAAGTCCCCCCCTTCCTGCAGGGCCCCGCTTCATCTGAAGTGTGCAACACCTGTAAACACTTGATTCTCCAGACGTCTGAGCATCCGAGGCCACTGTGCAGTGAGCCATCTGAGGGCATGCACGGCCATTACATCGCTAATTTGAATGCACTTAAATCCATGTGAAATTGGCTCTTACCGGCAGACTGGAAGGAGCAACCTCAGCTGTTATCTGTGGCTCCAGCTGGGTTGTGTGGAATAGGAAGCATTGTTCAGAGGAACAAATGTAATTTCATGGGATCGAGCAGGACATGTAAATGAGCGAAACGACTTTCTGACAAGGAAACCCGGGTGACCTTGCGTAATAAACCCAGTGTCTTAGATTCTGGCTGGTCGCGGTGTTGGCTTTTCACACTTGTCGTGTCTCCTCCTCCTTCTCAAGGAGGAGGTTGTGCTCTGAACTGGAAGAGTTACGTTTGCTCCTTAGTGAGGCGGAGGGGAGGCTGCAGGAGACAAGCGTGGGTCAGTCGAAGGTGCTGTGGTTGGCGGAGGTGTGTTGGGGGACACACTGAGTGACTACAATTGAATATGGGGACTCCCCTGTCAAAGGCTGGACTTCCAAACACTTAGGGATCGGGAGGGTTTTGGGTACTGTGCACCCAGTGTAGGCTCTGGTCACTCTTGTGTACCCATTCAAACCCTGGAGAGCTGGTGGCATGGGGACAGCAGGGTCATACCTGTGCTGTATGGAGGTGGGGGCACATGGTCATAGCTGCTGACGTGGAGAAGGGGTCTTGGCGCCCAAGACCCACCACTAGAAGCTGTTTTTGTTTGTTTGTTTGCTTTTTTTTTGGTGTAGGGCAAAACAAAGAGGTGGGGGGTGTGAGACATCATTCCTTGGGGGGATAGCTACACTGCAATCCCTCTCTTCACTCTCCTCTGGAGATTTTGGGCATGCATACACACGTGCCCAGTGTGTTTTTCAAACTGCCAGATCTGGGACTCGAACCACACAGTCAGTCATCTGGGATCCAGCTGCCCCGGCCATTATGACACCTGCTGGCCCTAGCGGTTGTTTTTCATTCCTTTCTTCCTGCCTCTCTTTCCTGAGGTGGTTGAGGTACAGCCTCTCCTTAAGTTATCTAAATCTCACATCTGTGAGGTACTTTTGGACCACATAAGGGGGTTTCAAAAAGTTTGTGGGAAAATACAATTAAAGTCTTGAGTTTATTCTGGTGCAAAACACTTCAAAATTCATGCATAGTTTTTTCCTAACACACTTTTTTTTTTTGGAGAGGTTTTTGCTATACGGCATGTGTGTTTGCCAGAAAGACAGAGTGAGACAGAGACAGAGAGTGAGAAATCACCCCCCAGGGGGGATGGCCATGCTGCAAGCCCTTCTCCATTCTCCTCTCGGCATCTTTGGCACGGACGCACAGTGTGAGTTTAAGCTGCCGGGTCTGGGACTCGAACTGCGGTCAACTACATGGAACTCCAGCGACATAGCCATTACACCAACTGCTGGTTCCCCCCCAACACACATTTTTTGTGAGCTTTTTGAAGACCCTTGAATACAAGGAAATAATCATAAATTCTGAGTGTCCATATTCAGTTTGCAGTTCCATTAATGACACTTGATTAGGGACCAGCAGATGGTGTAATGGTTAGGTCACTGGACTCCCACGTGGTTGACTGCAGTTCAAGTCCTGGACCTGGTGACTTAAAACTCACACTGGGCGTGTGTGCGTGCATGCCCAAGATCCTGAGAGGAGAATGGAGAAGGGCTTGCAGCATGGCCATCCCCCCTGGGGGGTGATTTCTCACTCTCTGTCTCTGTCTGTCTCTCTGGCAAGTGGATACGCCCTATAGCAAAATCTCTCTTAAAAAAAAAAAACAGTAACACTTGATAAATATGTTAAATCAATGTTTCCAGAGTTATGAAAAAATTCACCTGGACTTCCTGAAGAGCGACCATCCGGCCGTGGCGCGCATGCGCGTGGACTTGGACCACACGTACATCGGCGTCACCTACAAAAACGAGGAGGACAAGCTGAAGGACTGGGAGGGGGGCCTGGACGAGCAGAGGCTGAGCGCAGACAGCGGCTACATCATCCCTCTGCCGGACCTCGACCCGGTGCCCGAGGAGGAAGACCTGGGCAAGAGGAATCGACACAGGTGAGCAGGGGAGCCCGGCCGGGGCCTTCTCCCCTGCCCCGGCCCGGGACCACGCCCTCCCCGGACTGCTCTCCTGGGAGGCCAGTCTGTAGGGGATGAGCTGTGGGATACGGGGCGAGCGAGTCATTCTGAAAAGGGCTTCCCCCAGGTGGATGAATGTGTCTCCTGGGGCTGGGGCAGGGCTGTGTGGTGGGGGGCCTTCTTCTCTGGAGACACCCTGACCTAAGTCCTCAGGAAACCTGATGGAGCCCATGCAGGGCCAGCGTTCCGGAGGTAACATCAGGCTCTCCTGCTGCCATCCTCAGTCACTGAGCAGGAGAAGTTGAAAGGCGATGACTGAGCTAGTAGATGCTACGTTGGTGGTTCCTAATCCCAGCTGCATGGTGGGTCACCCGGAGATTTTAAAATGACTGACATATGAGGATCAGCAGGTGGCGTGGTAGTTAAGGCACTGGGTAGTGAAGACACGGGGGAGCCATGGTCGACCGTGGTTCAAGTCCGAGATGTAGCAGCTTGCTTTCTCACTTTCTCTCTTTCTTTTTCTCTGGTGAGCACACGTGCCCTATAGCAAATTAAAAAATAATAACAATGATAAATTAAATCAATAATTATTTTAAAAATGAACAAACAAACAAATAAACTACTGACATATGGCCTCACCCAGCCCTGCCAGCGAGGCCCTCTGGCTGAGTTGGTGTTTCCTTTTCAGACTTGGTGTTTTGGCAGACTTGGAACATGTGCGCAGTGTGCATACTGCAGAACGTCCAGGGGTCTGTTATCTGACTTCAATGTCTGTGTCCTCGTGGCCGGTCTAACTGCGTGCTCAGCCATCCTTCGCCGCCTCAGCTCCCTCTAGGTATCTGGCAGCCAGTTCTAGACACACCGTTTTTTGTTGGTTCGTTATAGGGCCTGTGAGCTCCTGGAGAGAGAGAAAAAGAAGGAAAATGAGAAAGCACCCCCAGGATGGATGGCCATGCCACCATCCGTTCTCCTCAATTCTCCTCTTGCGATTTGGGACATGCACACACATGCACCTAGTGTGATTTTCAAGCCATCAGGTCTAGGACTTTACCTGCCCAGTTGGCCATGTGGGATCCAGCTGCCTTACCCATCATGCCACTGGCTGGCCCCTAGATGCTCCACATCATCCATAAATATTCCAGCATGGCTCTCTAAGAGATGAGGGCTCTATTTAAAAAAGAAATGACAGGGGCCAGTGAGTGGCATAGTGGTTAAGGTGCTGGACTCCCACATGGCTGACTGTGGTTTGATTTCCAGACCCAGCGGCTTGAGACTCACACCAGGCACGGGGGGGTGCATGCCCAAAATCCCGAGAGGAGAATGGAGGTCAGGATTTCAGCATGGTCGTTTCCCCTGGGGACGATTTCTCGCTTCCTCTGTCTCTCTGGCAAGCACAGAACCCTACAGCAAAAATCTCCCTTAAAAAAAATTTACAGTTAACTAAAATTTAAAAACCCCCACAATGTCATTATCTCATTCCAAAAATGGACAATAAATATTCGAGAGCATCAGATATCCAGGCAGAGTTCAGATTTCCCTGATTTTCCCACAAATATTACTGTACATCTAGTTTGTTCTTTTGAAAACCAAGTACATGTCACACGTGTGTTTGGTTGCCACGTCTCTCTGAGTTTGTCTGCTTCTTTCTGCTTCTTCACCTGTTACTTGAGAAGAAACCAGAGAGCTTGTGTGGGTTCCACACTCGGAGCTTTGCTCATTACATCCCTGAAGTGTCTTCATCATGTGTTTTGGTCTCTAGTATTTGTTGTAAACTGGTAGTCTAGAGGCTTGCTATTTTTTTAAAGAATTATTTTATTTTACTTTATTATTAGTATTATTATTATTGAATTTGACCAGAGAGAGATGGAGAGAGAGGGAAAGCAAGAAAGCCAGCCACCAGGTCTAGAACTCGAACCACGGTCAGCCATGTGGGAGTCCAGGGCCTCTAACCACCACACCACCTGTCGGCCTCAGAGGCTTCATTGTTTTTAATCACCAGAGGGTATGTGCCCTCACCAGACATGGAGAGGCAGAGAGAGAGGGAGAAGGCATTTTCCCGGTAGGGTGTGGTCACACTGCCATCCCTTCTCCTCCATTTCTCCATCCTGTCAGGATTTTGAACACACAGGCACACATGCCCGACATGTTTTTAAGGATTCAAACTGAGTCCAACCATGTGGGATCCAGCTACCTTAACCACTCTGCTATGAGGCCAGCCCTAGAGGCTTGATTTGACCCAGGTTAGATTTCTGACCAGTGTCCTCCTACGATGGTTCTGTGTATCTTCCACCAAGAGGCGCGCTTTGTCTAGTCGTTGGTCTTTTGTGACGTTAGTGAGCGTTCGTTACCAGTGTGATGCTGATTCTCCCGAGGACTGAGAACCACGGGCTCACATAGTCCGGTTAGAGAAGACCGTCTGCAATTCCCCACCCTATCTGCATGGCCCTTGCACAAAGGCAGGGGACGGTGATGGTGGGGGCTCTGGTTCATGGCTCAAGTTGCTCACGAGTAGCTTCTCCCCTTCCCCTCTTCACTCAGGACATGCTTTCCCTTCTTCGCTCTATCAGTTAAATGCACGCAGTTATTTAGGACAAAGTGCTACGGCGTGTTATTTGGGTGCTTTCTGACTGTGACCCCTCTTCACCCGTGTGAGCACGGGTATAGACCGTCCTTGCATATACCCTGGGTAATGTACAAGGGACCGGGTTTTGTGTTGGAATGTGTTAGGAGATTTGGAAATGGGGCACACTGGGCTGCCTGTTTGACTTAGCTTTCTAATTGTGCCTTGCTTGGGCCCATTTTACAGTGTGTTTGAATTCCTTCAGCAAGCAGCATTATTTGAAGTTTGGGGGTGGGTGGTGGAACTTCAGGGGGCTGAGGGAAGGTTGAGGGGTGGGTCTAGACTCTCTCCATCTTCTCCCCCTTGGGTGGCTTTGTATCTGGGGGGTCCTGAATGAGACTTCAGAGGGTTCTTCTTGGGGTGTCCTGGTTTGGGTTGCAGAATTAGATGCATATTCCACAAAAGAACAGTTCTAGTTGGTGGGTGGTGTTATATTTGATAATTAGAGCTTCCCCAAGGGCTCTAATTTGATCTTAGAACTTGATTTTAGGATCACACAAAATATGTACCCAGTAGCTACACTATGTCAGACCCTTTTCAAATTCAGAGAGAGAAAGAGAGAGAGAGAGAGGGAGAGAAAGTGCCCCCTGTGGGGCCTCGTCTTGGGCAGTTTCTTCTTCTCCATTTCTCTGTCCCATCCGCACGCGCAGACATGCACCCTGTGTGTTTTCAAGCACTGGGGCTGGGATTCGAACCACAGTCAGCCATGTGGCATCCGGCTTTCTCCATGCAGCACTTACCCACTGTGCTACAGTGTGGGCCCAGTGGCCTCACCATTTTATTGGCATGGAAATAAGTTCAGGTTCAGTAACTGGTGTGAGGTCCATTCCAGAACAAAGGGTTTTGACTCCAGAATCCCTTCTCTTAGCCAATACTGAGTAAAGAGTCCACATCGGGGCCTGCAGGACTATGGGGCTTTGGATGTAGAGAGCAGGGGCTGGAGGAGATTCCAGGTGAGGGAGCAAAATCGTGAGGACAGCCTGGACCCTTAGGAGGTTTCGGGAAGAGCAGGAGGCTGGCTGCTGCAGTTTGCAGCTGGCTTAATTGATTTTCTTTCCCTGGGTTTTTTTGTTTGTTTGTTTGTTTATTACATTTATTCTTTCTTTCTTTCTTTCTCTTTTCTTTTTCCCCGGGCTTTTTGATCACAGATTTTCTCTTCCACTAGGATCGAGGAGGTAGAAGTTTTCCAACTTGTTAGCAGTGCGGATGAAAAGCCTGGGAGAAAAGGAGAGCCGGAGTGCAGAGGTGGCCGGCAGGCCCTGGCCTTCCGTGCCCAGTGCAGTGTGAGCCGTGGCGGACACTGTTCTGTTCAGCCACAGGATCATGCCACACTAGGCGCCTGTTGGAATGACAAGGACCTTGAGGGAGGAGCTCCTTTGCCTCTGGGAGGCCACTCTGAAATGCAGCTGCAATTTAATTGGTCTTTTCATGGCCCTTAACCTTTCCTTTTCTTTCTTTCTTTTCTTTTTTTTTTTATAAAGAATTTTTTGCCATAGGGCATGTGCACTGGCTGGGGACAGAGAGAGACAGAAACAGTGAGGGAAGGTGAGAATCACTCCACCAGGGAGGGGTGGCCACACCACAATCCCTTCCCCCCCATTCTCCTCTTGGGATCTTGGGCATACATACACATGTGCTCCACGTGATTTTCAAGTCACCAGGTCTGGGACGCAAACTGCTGTCAGCCAGTGGGAGTCCAGCGCTGGAACCACCATAGCCCATGCTGCCCTCAGCCTTTCCTTGTCTCTCCCTCTTCCAGCTCGCAGACGTCTGAAGAGAGTGCTATTGAGACAGGCTCCAGCAGCTCGACCTTCATCAAGAGGGAGGACGAGACCATTGAGGACATTGACGGGATGGACGACATTGGCATAGACTCCTCAGACCTGGTAGAGGACAGCTTCCTGTAATCGGAGGGCTCGGGGCGCCACCTCGGGACCCCTGGAAGAAAACCACTTTATTGCAATGCAAAGTCGAGAGGAGGACTTGGATGACGTGTGGAGAGAAGTCCCAGCCAAGGGCCTCAGGGAGCCTTCGCAGTAGGAATGCACGAGCTATATTGAAGTGGACATTTTAGCATTGCCTCTTGCAGTGCTTCGGAAGCATCTCAGCGGTGTGTGAAGTTTGGGGGGAGACGGACGAGGGGAAAACGGGCCACGGAAGATGAACTTTGTGTTTCCAGGGCATTGGTGAGATGTCGAAGTACGCGACTTGTACTGCCATAACACTCCAGCATTGTGATGATATAAATAACTCTGACTAGGGATGCGTTTCGATTGGTGTGAACTGTCTTCTCCGGACTTCTGAAGAGACCACTCCATCCACCCACATCCTTCCCTCCTGAAACCGGGTGTCAGCTGCTGCTGATGAAGTGCATGTAAAACCACTCTGAACCTTAAAAGGTACTGGGACTATAGCATTTTACTCTGTTTAGTGTTAAAGAGATAATGGATAATAATTAACCAACCTTTAATAGATACGGGTCATTTAGAAGCCCGACAGCTCATTTTTATATCGTAATCTACGTTTATAATAATACTACTGTTACCAGTAAAGCAAAATGTGTAATATGTAACATGATTTCCCTACAAAAAAAAATTAAAAAAAAACACACAAAAACAAAACCTTTACTAGGTAGGTGCCAAGTTGGACAGTTTTGGACATTTATATTAAATAACATGTTTCTCTATAAAATAATTATAGCTCTAGTGGGTTAAATTTAGTCAAACATAGAGAACAAGGTAGAAGTAGTTTTGTCCCGAAAGTCAGACTTTTTAATTGTGTACTAAATAGGTTCTCTAATCCGTTGTATTAAAAACACTTAACTTCCCTCTGATATAAAGGGTTTAGAATCAAACTCCTAAATCCTAAATCTTCCCAGTATAAGAGCATAAGGCTGTGTCGAACTGGACTTCATGTTATTACTTCATGGAAAATGGAATCACCAGCAGTAAGGTTGGATCTGCGGAGGCAGCCATGCCTGGGGTCACTTTGGATTGCAACGTACATATTTTTAAATCTCCGAACTTTTTTTTTTTTGGAGAGGTTTTTGCTATAGGGCATGTGCACTCGCCAGACAGATAGAGAGAGACAGAAAGCGAGAAATCACCCCCCCCCAGGGGGTATGGCCACGCCGCAATCCCTTCTCCTCTATTCTCCTCTTGGGATCTTGGGCACGCACGCACACGCACCCGGCGTGAGTTTAAGCCACCAGGTCCGGGACTTGAACCACGGTCAACTACATGGGAGTCCAGTGACATAGCCATTATGTTAACTGCTGGTCCCTAAATCTATGAACTTTTAAAGTGCCATCAGGATGTTCTGACCTCAGCCCACTTCTTTCATTTCTTACCCCAAAGAGAAAGAGCTGGAAACTGAGACTGTAAAAGTGTTGTTTGGGAAGGCTTCGTTCAGTGCGTGAGCCTGATCCTCAGTCCCCAGCGTGTGGTCAGAAGCCCTTGATTGGGTTTCCATCCCAGAGAGTTTTGAATTATTCAGTCTGGGGAAACAGGAACCTGTATTTTTTATAAACTCCCTGACTACTCTAATCAGCCAGTTTTCAGAAACACTGGCTTAGGTTACAGGAAGTTGCCATGGGGGAAAAAATATATAATTTGAAATTTGGTATAGGGCATGTGCACTCGCCAGACAGATAGAGAGAGACAGAAAGCGAGAAATCACCCCCCCCCAGGGGGTATGGCCACGCCGCAATCCCTTCTCCTCTATTCTCCTCTTGGGATCTTGGGCACGCACGCACACGCACCCGGCGTGAGTTTAAGCCACCAGGTCCGGGACTTGAACCACGGTCAACTACATGGGAGTCCAGTGACATAGCCATTATGTTAACTGCTGGTCCCTAAATCTATGAACTTTTAAAGTGCCATCAGGATGTTCTGACCTCAGCCCACTTCTTTCATTTCTTACCCCAAAGAGAAAGAGCTGGAAACTGAGACTGTAAAAGTGTTGTTTGGGAAGGCTTCGTTCAGTGCGTGAGCCTGATCCTCAGTCCCCAGCGTGTGGTCAGAAGCCCTTGATTGGGTTTCCATCCCAGAGAGTTTTGAATTATTCAGTCTGGGGAAACAGGAACCTGTATTTTTTATAAACTCCCTGACTACTCTAATCAGCCAGTTTTCAGAAACACTGGCTTAGGTTACAGGAAGTTGCCATGGGGGAAAAAATATATAATTTGAAATTTGGAGCTGGGCAGTTAGAAGTTAACCATGCAGGAAGCCTACTATTTAAGTCCTTGGCTCCAGGTCGGTGACATTTAATGCCATGTATCTAGCAACTGCTACCCTTAATTTCACTTTCCAATCTTAGCTGAGGCTGAGAAAGCTACATCTTGGTTTTGGCAAGCCTACCCAAAGCAGAGACACTGCTTCCCATTGCACGGGGGAGCAGCAGTTCTCCCCTTGCCCCTGAGAAATGGCATGTATGAAAATAATGCAGTTCAGCGTGCCAAGTTTCTTTATAATCAGGTCAATATTTTGGTGAAGAAAATGAAAAAGTTTTGCTGATATTTTGGGGTTGGATGGGAGGATGAATTGTCACATCCATCCAGACTGTCAGGCGAGTTGGCGTGGGCTCCTTGGCGGTCACAGCAGCGCGGCCTATTTACATGCACCGTGCCCAAAACATGGGCTGTGATGACCAGTCACCGTGCGGGCCGCCACCAGGTGATGCTCTGGAAGACGGAGCAGCGCTAACGAGGTGATTGACGACCTGCTGGTGTCATCTCCATGCAAGCCCCAACTTTCTTACCCACCTTTCTCCTAGTAACTACGAAGACTGAGCCAGATTGGCCAATTACAAACGATAACCTGACTAGGTTCTGTCGAGCCAATTAGACTTGAAATACATGCGTGTTTCTAGAATCGCAGCTCACGCGTTCCGTTGATCACCCCTCTCCCGTGAGTAGCCTGATCTTGATGCTTTGCGTTTTGATGTTAACGTTGACACTCGCTTGACATCAGGAGATGAACATTCTCTGGCCGGCATTTCCAGTCCTAAGCAATGCGCCTCCCCCTCTCCCACCCCGACTTTGTATCTGACGCCTTTTCAAAGTTTGTATTGTGTTTTCCCTGCGCCCGCCCGCCCCAGATACGGTTTCCTTTCCGGCCTCCGGCAAAGCCCCCAGAAGAAAATCCGCCAGTCTCCTGCCTTCTGTTTTGATGATGACAATCAGAGCTGGCCTGAGAAACGCAATTTGTGACTTTCTAAATGGTCAATCATGTCCTTACAATGTGGCCTGCCAATCTGTACAAAAGGGTCCTATTTCTGTGAAGAGGGACGGAAGATAATGATGTTATACATCAATATGTATATATGTATTTCTGCGTAGACTGGAGAGTACCTGCCGAAACATTTATGACAAGCTGTATCACTGCCTTTCTTTATATTTTTTTAACTGTGATATTCCCCACAGGCACATTAACTGTTGCACTTTTGAATGTCCAAAATTTATATTTTAGAAATAATAAAGAGAAAAATACTTACGTCTTCCCAAAACAGTGGTGTGGTGAATGTGTGAGACCTAAGTTCACAGGGAGCGTCTACCGATACGAGATGTATTACAAATGCAGGTAACACAACAGTTCCAGTATTTTTGTTTGCAGTTTAATAACAATGACAACAATCTTGCTCAAGTTACTTTTTTTTTTTTTTTTTGCTCTTGCCAGAGACAGAGAGAGGGAAAGTGAGAAAATGGCCGAAAGTGAGAAATTGCCCCCAGTGGGGATGGCCACACTATAATCCCTTTTCCTCCATTCTCCTCTACGGATTTTGAGCATGTGTGCACATGGGCCTGGCATGTTTTTCAAGTCGGTGGGTCTGGGACTCAAACCACTGTGTAGGATCCAGCTATCTGGATCATACCGTACCACTGGCTGGCCCCTGTTCAAGTTACTTTTTATTCAAGTTAAATTATTTATTTACTTCATGAGTGTGTGTGAGAGAGAGAGAGCTGCCAGGTCTGAGACTCGAACTGTGGTTGGCCATGGAGGAGTCCAGCATCCTAACCACCATGTCACCTGTCAGACTCCTAGACCATTTCTCTTTCTTTCTCTTTCTTTCTTTCTTTCTTTCTTTCTTTCTTTCTTTCTTTCTTTCTTTCTCTCTCTCTCTCTCTCTCTCTCTCTCTCTCTCTCTCTCTCTTTCTTTCTTTCTTCCTTTCTTTCTTCTTTTTTGGAAATATTTTTGCTATAGGGAATGTGTGCTCACCAGAGAGACAGAGAGACAGAAAGCGAGAGATCACCTCCCAGGTACATGGCCACATTGCGATTCCTTCTTCTCCATTCTCCTCTGGATTTTGGGACACATGCACCTGGCGTGAGTTTTAAGCCACCACATCTGGGACTTGAACCACAGTCTGCTCTGAGGGAGTTTAGTGGTATAACCAATGCATCGTCTGCTGGTCCTTCTTTTTAAAGAGAGATTTTTGCTAGAGGGTGCGTGCACTTGCCAGAGAGAGAGAGGAAGTGAGAAAGCACCCAGCAGGAAGGAGATCACACGCTGCAGTCCCTTCTCTTCCATTCTCCTCTTGGGATTTTGGACACATACACAAGCGCCCGGTGTGAGTTTCAATCTGCCGGGTCCAGGACTTGAACTGCAATTGGCCCTGTGTGAGTCCAACGATGTAACCATTGTGCCATCTGCTGGTCCCAAACTAGACCATTTCTTAAAGCAGCTTTAGGTTCACAGCAAAATTAAATGGAAGATACAGAGATTTGCCACATACGCCCTACTGGCCCCGCAGCCTCCCTCAGCCTTCCCTACAGCTGACATCCGGTACAGCTGACATCCCACATTGTGTGGCATCATCCATAGTCCTTGAAGGCCTTTTCATTTTCCTGCTGCATTTCAGAGAGCACTGTGAGAAGCATGTGGAGCTAGAGCGCCCTCGTTTTCAATCTGCGTCACAGTATTGCAGGATATAACACGTACCATAATTCAGGCAATCACATTCTCCTACAGTGGGTATTTCCGATTAGTTGCTGTTCCAGTGTCTTCATGAGCACCCTCACAGACACCGTGTGCACGTGGGCATTCATTCGCTAGGATAGGTTCCCGTAAATGAAAGTGCTCTGCCCAAGGCTGTGCGGAAATAAGTCACTCAGGGGTCACGGTCTTCAAAATAGCGTGGGGAGAGCTGTGCTGTGTGTGCGAGTATGTGGACTTGGTGTTCTGAAGCGTGCTGAAGCGAGTGACGGATCAGGAATTTAAAAAAACGATTCGACTTGGACCAGGCAGGTGGTGTGATGGTTAAGGTGGCTGGATCCCACATGGCCCACAGCACAGTTCGAGCCCCAGACCTGGCAGCTTGGAAATCACACTGAGTACGCGTGCATGCCCAAAATCCCAAGAGGAGAACGGAAGGGCAGGGATTGTGGCATGGCCATCCCCCGGTCTCTTTCTGCAGGTTGGATGTTGGCTTTGCCACAGCTCCAGTGACAGATCTCTGGCACAATAACCCTGCTGATTCAAAATCGCCGCCTGACGTGGTGTGGACACAGGTGCTCCACGTATGCCTGGAGCCACCATTTTGTCCTCGCATTTATTTATTTATTTATTAAGAATGATTAAGAATGATTCATTTCTTTATTTAATACCAGTTGTTATTATTAGTTGGTTTTTTTTTTTTTTTTTTTTTTCCAGAGAGAGAGAGAGAAAGGGAAAGTGAGAAAGTGAGAAAGCAAGCTACCAGGTCTGGGACTCAAACTATAGTTGGCCATGTGGAAATCTAGTGCCCTTAACTACCACGTCACCTGTTGGCCCCGTCCTCTTTTTTTTTTTAGAGAATTATTAATTATTTGATTTTACTTTATTTATTATCATTTTCTAATTTGGCCAGAGAGCGACAAAGAGAGAGAAAGTGAGGAAGTGAGAAAGGAAACCACCAGGTCCGAGGCTTGAACCATGGTTGGCCATGTGGGAGTCCAGTGCCTTTAACCACCAGGCCACCTGCTGACCCACCCCGTCCTCTTTTTTTTTTTAGAGAATTATTAATTATTTGATTTTACTTTATTTATTATCATTTTCTAATTTGGCCAGAGAGCGACAAAGAGAGAGAAAGTGAGGAAGTG